AACTATGTCGTACACCACCAGTCTCACAGGTCGTGAGCGGTCACGATGGCCGCCGCTGACGCGCATGCTCATGTCCGGAGAGATGTCGGACCAAAAAGCGCGAGAGTTGACCCGGAAAGAGAAATTTGATGTGTGGATGGTCAATGAGGGTTACCGAAGATTGTACGTTGCACTACACCGTGTGTGAAGAGCCTCGACTAACGTATCTAGTTTTGTTTTTACATTTGCGATATTGCACGTCATGGTCTTCGTCTTTGGTATGATGAACTATGGGCTAAAGGTATGAATGGATAGCTCAGATTACGACGAATGCCGCTCACAAGTCCTAGGACAACTCCATTGGTTCAAGACAGACCTTTGGTCTGACCTTCCCCATTGCTCGTTCAGCCGCTCTCGTATTGCACGTCGACGTTGCCTTCATCCTCTTCCCGGTATGCAGGAACTTAATCTCCATGGCTCGTCGTACGCCGTTGAACGACGTTATTCCTTTCGACAAGAACATCACCTTCCACAAGCTGGTCGCCTGGTCTATCGTCTTCTTCTCGTGGGTCCACACTATCGCCCATTGGAACAACCTTGCCAAGTTTTCGGCTTCCAACAACCTGGGATTCATGGGTTTCATCCTTGCCAACCTTGCAACTGGACCTGGATGGAGTGGTTATGTTATGCTGACGGCGCTCATGGCCATCGCCGTCACCGCTGCGGAGAAGGCTCGTCGCGCCAACTTCGAACGTTTCTGGTACATGCACCATCTGTTCATCGTCTTCTTCATCTTCTGGTCCATCCACGGAGCCTTCTGCATGATTCAGCCCGACTTTGCGCCCTTCTGCGACGGTATCGGTGTCTTCTGGGAGTACTGGATGTATGGTGGATTTGCGTACCTGGCCGAGCGAATTGCCCGTGAAGTACGAGGACGACACAAGACGTATATTTCCAAGGTCATCCAGCACCCCAGCAACGTTTGCGAAGTTCAGATCAAGAAGGAGCACACCAAGACCCGTGCTGGACAGTACATCTTCTTGTGCTGCCCTGAGATCTCCATCTGGCAATACCATCCCTTCACGCTTACCAGCGCACCCGAGGAAGACTACATCTCGGTGCACATTCGTATGGTCGGTAACTTCACCAAGGCTTTCGGACAGGCGCTTGGCTGCAACACAGACAAGAAGCCAGCCGGCGAGAAGGGTGAGAAGGGTGGGTCCAGCGAAGAGATCGCCTTGCGTCAAATTCTTCCCCGAGTCTACATTGATGGTCCCTTCGGTTCGGCCTCTGAGGATGTGTTCAAGTTCGAAGTCGCCGTTCTCTGTGGTGCCGGTATCGGTGTCACACCTTTCGCGTCCATTCTTAAGAGTATCTGGTACCGCATGAATTACCCTCAAGGATCCCGTACGAGACTGAGGAAGGTCTACTTCTTCTGGATCTGCAGAGACTTCGGATCTTTCGAATGGTTCAGATCGTTGCTGCTGGCTATCGAGGCGCAAGATATCGATGATCACATCGAGATCCACACCGTAAGTTTTATGTCCATAACTCGCTCTTGACGATCTACTAACCCTCTTCACAGTACCTCACAGCAAAGATCAAGGCAGACGACGCGACAAACATCATGATCAACGACGCAAATGCAGAGCAAGACGCCATCACCGGTCTCCGCGCACCCACAAACTTCGGTCGCCCTAACTGGGACATGATCTTCAAGTCCATCCGCAAGATTCACTCACCCGCCGAAGCCGGTGTCTTCTTCTGTGGACCCAAGGGTCTTGGTTCAACGCTCCACGTCAAGTGCAACATGTATTCTGAGCCCGGCTTCAGTTACGTGTGGGGCAAAGAGAACTTCTAGACGCAGTCGTGGGGTTATGATAAGGAACGCGGAGAAAAAGATGAGAAGTATACCATTTGCTATATTGAGCGAATTGTCACTTATTACATGGTTGTATATAATTCGCTCCTCTTTTTGGTTGTTGTTGGTTAATCTTGAAAGCTGCAAGCGGCTGAAGACACATGTTCAACGTCTACGATATCCCATAGAATTCTTAATGATGCAATTCGAATATCAAATGTCCGCATCCCCAACATCCCATGCCGATCTAACTGTCCAGACTTGCCGATTCCAAGATCAGCCTAATTAGCCTGGCTCCCTCAGATTTCAGGCAGCCGTTGATCCCAAGTACCAGTATCACGCCACTGTCGTTCATGCGTCCAAGCCACTCAAACACTTCGAAACCCTGCGTGCCGCATCGCGAGATGAACCGCTCCTCGCCACGGGTAACGGCAATGCTCGGACTCCGCGGGATCTACACTTGTTACCGAGCGATGGGGTTGGGTGGTCCTTGTCAGGACGCGGTGGCCATGGGTGGGCCGCGGACAATGTGACGCAAATTCGGGAGAGGAGACGGTGGTCAAGCTTTTGGTGTCTCGGGAGCCAAGAGCTTGGTGTCGGAGCATGTGAATGATTGCAAATAAGATGATCGATGGAGGGTGAACACTATAGTTTGCTTACGATGAATTGGTCATCGTGATACTTTGGTGCATTCTACATTCCTTTTTTCCATCCCTTCGCTGACCAATCGTTGATCTCTACCAATCCTCCTATCTCCCTCACTCCGGGCTTGATGCCCTCGCCGACACTGGTATCATGGGCTCCAATGACCCACACGTTGTCTTTGCGCGAATATTCTCTCGTGCGAAGCATTGTATCCACTGCCTGTTCTGGGTCGGCGTGCATGCCTGACTTCGCATATGGTGGTCTCGCAGTGCGCTTGGGCTCTTTGAGAACGTCAAGGTGGTGGTAACAGTCACCAGCGAGCAGTACAAACGTACTCTCTTTGTCATTCGAGCTCGATGTTGTTCGCACTAGCATCATTTGATGGCCCGGAGAATGTCCTGGCGCGTCCACGATGTATGCTGAGCCGTCACCGAAGACGTCATATGCGCGATCAAACGCACCGAGACCAATCCATTCAGGCTTCTTTAGATCGACAGCAGCGTACTTTCCCTTTACCAAGCCTTCCATGACCTGACCTGCCCTCTTATCTCCTGCTTCTCTCAAAACATCGTCTGGTACATAGCTCTCTACAATCTTTCTGCTCCCATCAACTGGCAAAGTCTCGCTAAGCGTAGGAGCCTTCTCATCAACCGGATAACCAGGTCTCGCATATGTGCAGCAAGTTGGTCCAACCCACAACTCCGCCTCCTCAAACCCGGCTTTGGCTCCATCGCCGACATGATCAAAGTGCATGTGCGAGAAGATAACAGCCTTGACTTTCTCGGGCTGTTGATCAGGTGATCCATGCTCTTGCAGTATCTCGGCTGGAGACTTCGGTTCGCACTTGAAGTTTGGTAGAGCGCCTTCCACGAGAAGAGGCGGAAGGTTCTCCAGATCTTTTCGCATGCCTAGGTCGAAAATGTACTTATTCCCGGTGGCTGTGTGCTCGATGAGGAACACGTAATCTGGAGCATAGAACGACTTGCGTTTTCCATTCTCGTCTTTAGAGTCGTTCGGGTCTTGCGGCTTGTCCGGACCGGGAAGCAAGACCATGTCTGTAGGGATGTGTATGCCGCCGGCCTGAATGAGGAGGACTTTGCATGTTGCGGCGGATGACGGTATGGAATGCCATGGTAATTGATTTGATGACTCGAGCATGATTGTGCTAGATAAATTTTGCTATCGGGATGGAAGTGTGCTGTTGAAATGGGTACGTTTGAACAGACTGTATAGTTACTGGCCTTAGTATGACATGCCCTCGTATCGATGACGTCAATCACATCCATTTCCACTATTGTACCGTGTATTGCGTACAAGCCCGCTCAGATTCCAGCTGAAGCTTGAGAGTGGCAAGCTATAACCTATATCTCGTAAGCATACATGCGAAAGTATCCTGCTTGATTGCTGCATTTCGAGATCATGTCGGCGCCCGCGCACACATCCATCTTGTGGTGAGGTTCGAATCAAACTCGCGTGAGCGCCGACTTGTCTTGCTCTTCGGAAGATTGTATCGTCTTGTATGCTGGAACTTTTACACCTAGGCATTCCCATCACAGAATGACGGAAGGGCGACCCGAGAGGGTTTGGAAGGGCCTTTCACCGAATGCGGACTAGAGTGACGCGCTAGTCACGCGAGCAATCACCTGGGCAGACGCGTCTACCAGCTTCCTCTCATCTTCTCTTAGCACTCTTCTTCCCAGCTCATCTCGTACCGAAACGCAGCCGTTCACGGCAGCAGGTCCTTCGAGGTCATCTGAGGCATACGAATCCACTCGGTGGAAGTTGATCACTCGCACTAACCATGACAAACTCATCCCCTCAGCCTACAGCAGCTTCGCCTAATCCGCATAAGCCTCAACAAGTGCTGGAGGATTTCACAGAAGTCCCGACTCGAGGTTCCCAGCAGGTCCCCGTTCTGACACCAGCACTGCGATCTTCAGATCCCTACGCTCTACAATGGTTGCCCTCTCGTCCGCCAACTCCACCACAACCGACATCAGCACCTGTGCAAGGACTGCATTGTCCCCAGGCAGTCCCGTTTCAGCAACTTACCCTTGATGGTCTGAATAACGATGTTCTTGCCATCGTTATAGACTACATTCACGAGGAATCCACAATGCAGGTCTGCCACTGGAACTGGAATATCGGGCGCAAGGAACCGAAGACGGGCTTTGGCTTTCGTGCTAAAGGCACTTCGCTTTTCTGCCTGTCACTAGTGAGCAAGAGAATGCGAGCAATCTCTATTCCCAAGCTTTTCGCGCATGTTTTCCGTTGCGCCTCTTCCATGGGCGCCCTCAATCGACGCTTGAGAGATTTGGAAGGCAATCCGCTTATTCCATCCCTTCCTGAGGTTCTACCAGCCATCAAGTATGTATGGGTCTGTATTATGGATAGTTTGGGCATTCGGGTCGTTTCTATGCTAATCTCATAAATCCAAAGGGCTTGTGATATAGTCACCACGTCGAGAGGCAAGACAACATTCTGCAGGACTCGACTTGCCAAGGCTCTTCCGAAGATGGTGTCTCTCGTTGAGCTGTCCATTACACATCGTAAGGACGTCGATATATCCGGCCTACGAGCGACCTTCCAGCGCCATGAAGTTACTCTTCCCACGGTCCTACGTCTACGCATTCTGTCACATGGCGACTGGTCATTCCTGGTGGAGGCCTGTCCTAACACCGAAACACTGGCTCTTGAGTACAACCTTGGTCACGATGGTCTGATGGAGACGGTAGCAACTCTCAAGAGATTGAAACTTGTCGAAATTTGCTGTGACGCGTGGCAACTGGAAGACATACAACGCTTGCACCAGTATTTACCAGATCTCCAGAGCTTGGTCTTGAGAGGTGCAATTGGCCATGAACAGATCAGTGTACGAGCGCATAGTGCTACTCGTTGTAACGTTTTTTCATGTTAATTTATACTTAGAGTTTCGCAACCGCTTTCGGCTTGTTTCAGAGGCTCACCAATCTCTCCATTACTGCCAGGCAAGAGATCACCGATGAAGATGAGGAAGAGCAGTTCTCCGATGACGATTCAGGAGATGGCAGCGCCGTTGGGGATATGTATTGGGAACATGAGCTCGACGAAGAGCAAAGTTTCGTAGCTAGGAGTTTCTTCGAACACTGCCATGTACTCGAAACGCTGTCCCTGGTGCGCGTTGGCGAGACCACGCCGTGGTACCCCGTACGTGGAAACGATGGAGCTCTCGAGTCGGTTTACTCTCCACAAATGGACCGCCAGGCGTGGAATGATACCTACATGCTGGAAAGACAGGAACACGATGACGAGGGCTTCCCTAGGCTCTTCACCTTTCGCCGACAAACCGAGTACGATGAAAGCTGGGATAATCCTAGTTATGAGGATCAGAGTCGTGAGGCCACGGAGCACAGGGTAAGTGGAACCATTCTGTAAAGTCGAAATACATTTAACATATATCAGCTTAAGGAGCGAGACAGGTACTATGCTATCAAGCAGGAGGCTCTCGGGCTGGGCCTGTGGGAAGGAGACTCTAGATGGCATGGTTAACTCACGTACCGTCGCGTACATCGGCATACATGGATATGTCATTACTTGGCAGCCGGCTGAAAGATACTTGCCAACCCGCACAGAGATCTTTGTAGATTATATGACACTGCGATAAGCATCGCTACTTACCTTTCTATCAACGTGATCGATAACTTTTTCACGTACCCTCAATCGGCTCACTCCATCTTCCCCTACAAGACTGTGCACTTTTTCTTCGCCTTACACTCATCACACTCGCCGCCCTCCTCCTCTTGATATACCACCTCCAAGTTCTCCAAAAGGTCCGGGCATCGCGCACCTCTACGATTAGAATCCTGGCACCCGTTCAACGTAGTGTCCTCATGTGTTGGCCACTATTTCGAAGTCAGTATATGTCTTACATACATTTCGTATGTCTCGGATCTTACCTCAGCGTATGGGTCTGATTGATTAGCATCCTCTTTGGCACTTGGGCGTTGGCGGCCTGGTTTGTGGATAGGAGAAACATGGCCGCATGCGTACTTTGTAGGTCGGAGGTAGCACATCTGTAGTTACGGATGCTGTGGATTTGCAGTAGGTGGTAGGAGTAAAGTATTGGAGCTACAGCGATACCAATGAGTTGTAAGTCTAATGTGCGTGATCACCTGGGCAGTGTTCCTAATTGTTGATAAACCTGAGAAGTAAGAAGCGCTAAAACGAAGACCGGTGTGATATAGTGGCACCTTAGCGGAGACTTAGTGTGGCGTTCTAGTTAAGGTTTTCTTTGCGTGAATGGACATTGTTGCTCGGAGCTCTTCACAGCCTCCGCACGGCGCCTCCGCTAGCGTGGCCGCAACGATGGTCATGACACATCACCAGCACAGTGTACACAATGGTAGAAATTCAAGAATGCTTACAAGACAGACTATGTGTATAACCGCGGTAACAATCAATGCCAAACGCCAGATTGAAATCAACACAACGCTCGGCCAATCCGCCTCCGTAACCAAGTATAAAGTCGAATATATACACTTGAGATGAAGGTAAGGATATGCCAGCAAGCCAAGACCTACTTGGCCAGTATCGGTGCTGCCTTACCGGCCTTTTCTGCCGCAATATTCGCCAGCTTCTGGAGCTTCTCGGCGCGTACTTGGCGGAAGTATCGGAATAGCAAGATGAAGGAAAGCTCAATGCGCTCTTTGGTCATCATGAGGAAACCTTGGACGAGCAGGCCCTTGAGGATCTGGGGTCCGATGCCCTTGAATAGCGCCGCCGGGCCTTCGTGTTGTATGATGTATTGCATGACTTCGGTGAAGGACTTGAAAGGCTTTCCGTTCCGGGCTGGTGGGGGTTTCGATTGAAGACCGACTTTCGCGACGATGAGCGGCTGGGTTGCGATTGTGGCAAGCGTCTTGGACATGGCTCCGATGACTGACAGATGTTAGTAGCTTTCCTTGAATTATGGTAGTGGCCATGGCTTACGGAACGCCTCGAGGGGCTTCAGCGTCTTCTTTCCTGGGTACATGACTTCCCGTAATCGCTGGTACGCTCCGTATGTGATTGATGGGTTGATGACGAGCACCAGACTCGCCCTGAGTCCTCGCCAAAGCCCTGTCCAGCCGTCATCACCATTGACCACGTCCATAGCCGTAGCGATCATGCCCTTGCGCTCCGCCTTGCTCATGGTCTGTTGCCTCGTCGTTACGACTGCGACCGGGATTGTGAAAAGCTGGGCGAGCGCTCCCGCGAGCGCTCCAAGGGAGAGTTCGACCGGCGTGCTCGGTGACGTTTGAAGCGTGCGGTTCGCCATGTAGAGGCTGCGTACAACGGTATACCAGTAGAAATAAGCGAAGTTGGTCGATGCTACGCCGAGCAGAGAGCCTCCTATGCCGGCGTATAGTCCAGAAAGACCCTCCTGCGCAAAGACCTTCTGCAAGGCGTCGATGGCGCCATCGTAGTGTTCGTGGTCGGCGGGATTGGGGTCGTTGGACGTAGGCGAGCGCTTAACCTGGACCTGTAGTCGCGTCTTGATCCTGAGGTTGTGTTAGTATCTTTGCGTTCTGCCCAAAAAGGCTCGGGGAATCTGCGACGTACAAATCTAGGGGGTAGACAAGGGTGTTTGCGATGACGGCACCAGCGGCGCCTGCGACAGCATTACCCCATGGTGGAAGAGTTTCTACCTTTGACTGGCCGGCCATGGTGGTAGTCGAGCACAATTGCTAAGGCTCGGCGAGGTGTTGCGACTGCGGAGTGTGTGACGGGCGGAGGATATGGTGTGGAATCAGCGACTAATTCGGACTATCTCATCATGACAGTAATAATCTGAAGACTGGAGATAGCAGCATCGGAAGTTAGAAAAAGCGGGCAGGGGACGTTCATGGTGCCCGCAACGCGATAGCGCTGTCGCATGCATGGCTGACCTCTCCCGAGGTCCTAGAGGCCGAGGTTCAGGTTCGGATGACGACACACCCTGCTCCCTTGGACCTTCCTTCACCGCAGCCGCTGTCGATCACTTCGGTGAAAGTGAGCAAGCCGTGCCTGGCTGGATATGCCTCTCACGTGGAAGGAGACGTCTAGATTCGTCACTTATGCGCTGGAACTGGCTGTTCCTGCTGCAACTGGCAGTCGCGACGGCCGTTTGGCAGGAACGTGCGTCGCGCTAAAGACTCCGCCCCAGATCACAACACCACAACACCAAAGCACCATCACAGCTTCTTAGTGCGCCTTGACTCCACTCACCCATAGTCAGTCGCATCGCTATGGCACAACGCAAGTAGCTTCGTCGTCGCTGCTAGTATTGGTCAAATTTCTCTTACCGTGTCCTGTCTCAAGCCATTTACGATGGCTGACCGGGCTACTGAGATTGAGGCTTACAAGGCGGCCGCAAGCGTATGTGATACAGACAACTAACTTCTCGCTGCAACATCAAGTCCCGCGTTGTAGCTCCAACTAATCAAGCTGCCAGGACTATCGCTCGCGGGTTGACAAAGCCGCTACCAAGGATGAAGCATTCAGTCTCGCAATTAGCGTGGCCGAGAACCTCATGGAAGCGATCCAACTATCGTCAAACCCAGACGAAAGGAAGGAGCTCAAGGCGCAATGCAGCGACATGTTGACTCGTGCCGATCGCATCAAGGCCGATGAAACATGGACACCTCTAGTCAAACCCCAGTCCTCCAGCTCCAGAGATGAGCGAGTAGGTCAATGGGCCAAAGAGGTCGCCGGGACTGCAACTCCAGGTACAACCTTTGAAGACTCGACTTCGCGTTCAAACACGTCCCGCTGGGCTCTTTCTTCGACTACAGGACCTATCGACGGTCCAGCAGCTTCAGGTAAATCATCAGCTTCTTCGTTCTCGGCATTCGTTCATCAGTCAGATCTCTCTTCAGCCGTTCCTTCTTTCCAGCAAGATGCGCGCCGAGATCTAATGCCGCTTATTGATCTTTCGGATGACGCCTTTCCAATCGATGTACCAAGTGCAGTCACTGATGCGTCACACGAAGATAGCTCAAACGCCAAAATTGACCGTGACAACCATCCGAAGAACGGACACGAGTTCGTGTTGAATTCATCTGCAGTGCCACAGCCCTCTAGCGCAGAGTCCCAGCCTGGAGTACCCGAGTCGCAAACAGCAGCTCTAACGCCCTCAACCGCACCTCATTCTCAGATACACAGGCTACGAGAGCCGATTTCAAGCAGGAAACTACCCACAAAAGAAAGCATCATTTTGTTGAAGGCTTCGACAGTCAATGGCTTCAAGTTTCCACCTTGGGACAAGACTCCATCTGCGGATGAATTCATATCCGAGGGCGAGGCAGTTTACACGTACGTTACCCGATGGTCATGTCGGGGTCATTCAGACATACTGATAGCGACAGGGATACACGAGATCTGAGTCTGTCTTCATACCAACAGCAGTTCTTTCTCGGTTGGCTGCGTGCCAAAGAAGCTGTGCCGCCACCCTCGCAGTTCCCCAACGGTAGGGCTGGTATCGGGCCCTTGATGTCTAGCACGAGGCCTCTCGATCTTGTACAGGATGCAGCTTCAGATTGCTCGGTGGTCACAAGCTTATGCGCTGGTATTGCTCGCTCAGAACGCGGTCACGATCAGGTTTGCCATCCTCGGAAATTCTGCAGTATCGGTACTAACCGTGGCAGATGCTCACGAACAAGATATATCCATATGACAAGCACCTTGGAAAGCCGTTGAACTCGTCTAATGGCAAGTACATCGTACGACTCAACTTCAACGGCTGTTGGAGAAAGGTGGTTATCGACGATCGACTACCTGTCTCAAAGACACATCGTCTGCTTCATGTTTTCGACCGCCGTAATCCAGCCCTCTTATGGCCAGCACTACTTGAGAAAGCATACCTGAAAGTTCGCGGCGGTTACGATTTCCCTGGAAGCAACTCGTGCAGTGATCTCTGGACCTTGACGGGCTGGATACCAGAACAGGTCTTCTTGCAAGAGTAAGTTGTTTCTTCTCTAATCCCATAGCTGACCATACTAACTCTTATAGGGCCGATACGGTTCCAGATCAGATATGGAAGCGCATACACAACGCCTTCCTGTACGGCGATGTTCTGGTCACAGCAGGTACTGGCAAGATGTCGACCAGGCAGGAGCGTGAACTTGGTCTCGAGGGCCAACACAGTTACGTCGTGCTGGATATGAGGGAGACAGAGCATGATCGACTGTTGCTCGTCAAGAATCCATGGGTCGAAGGCAAAGGCTGGCGCGGCCCTCGCCCTTCGGCTGTGACGACCATGGATCCGCCTGCTTCTACCTCCAGTCGTAGTTCTAACTACAGCCTTGAGAGTTATCACAGGGATAGCGTCCCCACTCAGGATCGGCCGCATCCAACGACATTCTGGATTGGATTAGAGCAGGTCATACAACACTTCGAGAGCCTGTATCTCAATTGGAACCCTGGTCTTTTCCGCTATCGACAAGACATTCATTTTGAGTGGAACATAGAATCATCGTCGCCAGGCGGTTGCATTGTCAAACATCCACAATTCGCCTTTACGTCCAAAGGTG